ATTTTCCACCATTATTTGCAAAGAAATTATTTAAAAGTCAGACAAAATGATTTTCTCAAATTTTTTTTCACATTTTGTCTCTCATAGTTGAGGTCTACCTATGATGTCAATTACAGGCCTCTCTCGTCTTTTTAAGTGGGAGAACTTGCACAATTGGTGACTGACTAAATACTTATTTTCCCCACTGTATATACATCAAAATTTTGAAATATCATATTTACGTACAACATAAATAAATTTAAGCTTATTATATCCATATTGTATAATCATTATTTCATCATCATGCTTTTTATAATACAGTATATTTGGATGGTGTATTACAGTTAACCCTACTAAGAATATGTAAATAAGTTGAACTATGTATTCTTCTTATACATGTAGCTTTGATAGCTGTAAAACAGTTTAGTTTTCAGCAAGTAATGATTGATAAAACAGGCTGATATTTCATTGAGCAAATGACTTTTCCAAGATGGCGGACCCGCGGCGCGATAGCAGCATTAGCGGTCCGTCTATCTACTCTTTATGTTTATGGTTACTACCAGCAGTGATAATTAATACTTACTTTCTTGAAAAACTTTTGAATATCCACTTTTCACTGAGCATTCTCCTGGTCTGCTCGCTGAAACTTCATGCTGCAGCTGGCTCTGTGTGTAAACTTGCCAGCATGCTGCTATTAAGGTTGCAGAAAAAACATGGACTGGATTTCATGTGGTGGGGGAGTACTCTATATGAACAAGTGGAATGGACTGGATAACGACGCACCAAAGAGGATCTCTACCTTACACTATAAATTAAAGGGAATCTGACAGATTTATGATTATATATTTTAGTTAATAATGAAATATTAAATGGTTATTTATTCTGACCACATCATATTGAATTTACACCAAAATAATTTATGGGGGCTTTAAAATAGTTTAGGGGGGCTCCAGCCCCCGTAAAATAGGCCTAGTGACGCCACTGGCTTCCAGGTCAGGGGTGAGTTTATATCTGGCAGTATGGAGCTGGAGATGGTTCAACAAACTGGGGCCTCATCCTCATGAGCATGTTGCTCCGTTGCATCAAGATAATGAAAAAGCTGAAACGAAACTCTTTGTTTACTGATCCATCTACATTCCAACCCTCACCTGTGGTGATGTGATTGTGATTAAATAGAAACAAGATCTCAGATCCAAGTGTATGAAATGAGCTACCTCCAAAGGGTGCCCATGAGAAACTCCTCCATCCTCAGAGGTGATTCAGGCATATGTTAAAAACATGTGGACCGTGCTGTGAGTCAGAATGAACACAGGCTGAAGTGGGGGGAGAAGTAAAAATGATTTTTAACACTGAAATTGGGTCCATAAGAACACCACTGAGTGGCCCCGGTAATGTTCTAATAATAATAATACATTTTATTTGGAGGTGCCTTTCTGACACTGAACAGGCAACAGATACATAAAAGAATTTAAAATAGTAAAATACATGTTTAAAAAAACACTAGAAATGCTAAGTTAGAAGCAGCAGTATGAGAAATGAACTGGGGTAAGTCAGGGATGTAAAACAAACTCAATAAGCCAGTTGTAACTATTTTCAACTAAAAACAAAACATCAATTTCCTCGTCTTGTTGCTATGGCTGAGCACCTCTAACAAACAATAATTAAGCTCTACGTGGCATTTCCTGCATAGAAATGTTTTAAAGGCGCAATATTATGTGTTTCTCAGGCATACATTTAAATACTATACCATAATAAAGTATCGATGTCACCTTTAGCTGTTATTAAAATGCTGTTTTTATGTTTAAATAGAAAATAAACTTATCTTCTCATGACTTCCTCTTCTAAACGCCTTGAAATTGGCCTCTGTCTCTTTAAAAACCACCTTCTGCTTCTGATCCATCCCGTTCGGGGGTGGGGGGGTTGCGCGTGCACCATGCCACGCACGCGTCATGATGCAGTTTACTTGGCATCTGAAAATACATTTCCTCAAAGGTATTTTTAATC